TGTGTGTGTGTCTAGGAGTAGGAGGAAGTGGGAAGCAACGATATCGATTTCACTTCCTACACACCGTACTGGCATAGCGAACATAGTTTACACACAGCTAGATCTACCTCTCAGGCTACCACCACAACACACGGAAATCACATCAGTCGGCGACACCGCACCGAGAGACTTCATGTTCTGCAACAGTATAGACAATCCGTTGAGTTTCTACGCTTTGGGGACACGTGTAAGCTACAGTATAAAACTGACAAGACTAAAAACACACACTGACAAACACAAACTTTGTTAACACGGATTCAAATTCAAATTAGCAATAGTATGCACACATCAAACAGTGGTGTAGTTCCGCATACCTGTCGTCAACAAGCCAATGACAGGAATCGCGTGGCTGGGTTGACATCAAATGACCACACACAACAGAATGAATCCGAACGTTCGTCAGCTAACAAGGTCTACGTACGAATCACAAAACTTACATCTGTCAGTTTGTGTAACCACGAGATTTAACACACACACCTACCTTCCAGGTAAACAGAATTGAGAGCTTTTTAAGTGTCTCGAACGCGACACAGAAAAATCTGCTTCCGATATTGTACCTGAGCGGTGACGGTGACGCTAATTAACTTCTAGCCCCTGGATATTTTTCGTACAAAATGACTACTTTCCAGGCGCAGAAAAGAACTCAAAACTCGAGTCAGAAATCAAACAAATGTCAATTCTACAATCTACTTACACAATATGTCATATTTGCGAATTTCTGATACGTTAGAATGTACGTGTTCTTAGAAAACTGTGTAGAAAAAAGACCACCGTCATAAATTTGATTCGGGGAACAAAACTGCCCACTCACCAGGCTCGTTTTCCCACCTGGTGTGACCTACATAATTTCTCACAAGCTGTGGTGACTTTGTAACTTTGTAAACGTAGTGTTACCGCATGCCAAGCGTTTGTGTTGCACAGCCGACTGAGTCTCAGGAAAGCGATGTAGATCTCCAAAGCTCAGCTTCGACTTCGTGTGACCATTGTTTAACCATCGCTGTAATCACGACTAGTTTCTTTGAGCAAAGAGAAGCACATTGACCCTGTAATGTTTATATAATAAGTAGTTGTGCAGACTTGTCCCCGTGTGTGAATCTGTCCCCGTGGTTTTATGCACCCCGCATAAATAAATAATATAGGAAAATTTGATCATTTTGTTCATAATTTCTGATTATTTTCCTTTATCATGCTTTGTTTAAATTAACAGAATCGAAAAATTTCATATTTTTGGGCTCAGTTAGCATAATTTCATATTTTTGGGGCATAAAAATAAAACCGCGGGGAACGGATGTGAAGGATCGCTACTCACTAGTAGAACAGTCGAACTTGGGCTTTATTAGGAACGTGATAAAAATCCATTCACAAAAACTGTATGTATTTTGTGAATGGCATTGTGTATATTATTATTTTATTATA